TCTCCACCTCTCGCTTCTCTCTCCAGGGCGTCCCCGTGCTCATCGTGGGCCACCACATCCTCTACGGGAAGGTGGTGCAGCTGGAGAAGCCCTTTGCTGTCCTGGTGAAGCGGGGAGCCATCCAGCCCGGCCCTGAGCCAGGCCCCGCCGGGCCGCACACCCACTACACCGTCACCGCCCTCATCAAAACCAAACTCCTCTTCAAAACACGCCCCAAGCCCATCATCACCAACGTGCCCAAGAAAGTGTGAGGACTCAGGCTGGCAGCCGGGAGCCCCGCCCTGCTGCCCCGCAGCCCCCGGCTTTTTGGGGAGATCCAGGGCTAGCCCTGGTCTTGTCCCTGCCCAAGCCGGAGGGCTCTGGGGCCAGCTTGGGGTGCTTGTCCCCCCTGTAATGCCTCCATTTCTGACAGCTGCCAAGCTCTGGGGCACAAATCCAGCTGCCACCGAGGCGAGGTGGGTCCTGGTGGGCTGAGACATCCGAGCCCAGGCAGGGCTGTCCTACCCCAGGGGCTGCCCTCAGTGACCCAACCTCAGCAGTTCCTGGTGCGCTGCTGCCTCTGCCTGTCCTCCTGCCTGCACTGGGGACCTACGGTGGTGCCAGCACACAAAAAGCACCCTTGCAGCTGTGGGGGCAGCTGTGCCAGGCAGGATCTGATCTGAGCCCTACCTGGGCATCAGCTTCCCTTGATTCCCCTCACGGCACTGGGGCAAGGGGACCAGGGCCACCACCCCCTTCCCCACGCACCACCCTTTCTCTGTGCAAGTCTTTATTTTGACAAATCAGTCAGGATATAAAAACAGACTTTTTCAAAATATGAAAAAAAACCCCGCAGGTTAAAAAATAAATAGATTTACAAACAATTAGCAATAAGTATGAATACCAGAGAGCTACAAAAGTCTTCTAAAAAACCTCGTATTAAATTAAACAAAACCATCTAAATGCTCAATTGTAGAAAGATTTTTAAGCCCTGAAAAAAAAGAGGGCCCAGGGGAGGTGGCCGGCTGAATTCCCTGGGGAGGGGAACGGTTGGGAACCAGCTCTTCCCCGCCCTCCTCTGCATGCCCGAGCCCAAAACCCAGTGTCTCCCCGCTGTCTAGACAGACGCCGGGAAGACAGTGGGGTTGGTATGATGGAGCCGTGGCTTGGCCGGAGCATCGCCGTGGCCCCAAGGGGCCAAGCCACGGCCCCGGTTTCTGCATGCCAGGGTCCCCCCCTTGGCTCTTTGGCAAAGCTGAAGGGACGTGCTGCCCTCCTGGGGCAGCCAGACCCCCCTGAAAGGGGCTGGAGGGAGCCATCGGGGGCTTCCCTGTGGGTACGTGCCTGCACATACAAACAGCCGCG